TTTGGATTGTCCAAGAGTTGGTACCTTATCTTGTTTTCGAAAAAATCAAAACAACTTTCTATTGGGACTGTTGATACCAAGCTATGACTCTTCTGGTCGTCTGAGCAGGCATGCAATCTCAAGATGTCATCATGTACCTAGACCAAAAATACTCTGTAATGCTATCTGAAGAAAATCATGGCAACTTCTGATACCTGGAACGCAGCCATGACCACGGTCAATATGTGCAAACTCCTCTCTTCAATCAATCGACAGGCATTGCCCCACCGCCTTCCTACCCCTAGCCCCATGGACTGGCCGTGAAGCCGACCTGAATGAGATGCGGCCACGGCATGCGACGACAACATACCACCTCCTTGAATCCTATAAGTTCAGTAAAGCACCGAATCGGGAGACCACATGTGCCAACCACAAAGACTATGTGGCTCTGCACCGCAATCATTTCTACGGAGATTTGCAGCTATCTCCTCAGGGGTGGTGGGCGTGGCCTCAGCAAAAACTGGGCGCTTTGAAATCGTAAGCGATTGTGCACAAGAGATGGGCAGACACCACAGCTATGAAATGCGAGGAGAATCGAAGCATATCAAAGCAAGCGATTCCTGGAGCAACTGCGCTGGAAATGCCCAACGCCCATTCAAATGATGATGTTGCGGGGCAGGCCAACACCCGGGCAGGTAGTGCCTTTCAAAGTATGTACCAACCTGATTGGGGTTGAACCTGATAGAACATGGACAAGGGCATGTGGACAAGGATATTGGCATGGATCTTATCATTGAGTTTGCGATGGTTTCATGTTCAAAAAAAACTTCTTGCAGGTGGGCTGAACTCTGCCCCACCACACCATTGACCAACTCTACAACGCACAATATTTCGCAATACCATGTGCACATAATGCACACATATGTACCACATAAGTACAGCCATTTGCAATACAAGTACTATACTTTGGGTAGTGTGTGGATCCTTAGGTTTCCGTTTCCTGGCTTGGACTGATTTTACCCCCAATCTTCTCATTGCGCAAAAAGAATGAAGGAAAATCTCTGCAATTCCAAATCTAAGTGCGTGAGTCTTCTCAGTCTTCTTTCACTACAAAGTTGGAGGAACAAGACATGGCTCTTGATGATTCATTCCTGGTTTCAAATTCCAAAGACTCAGCAAGATAAGAAGTCTCGATGTATGTACTTGCTGTAAATGCTCGGCCCAAATGTTCCCTAAGGCCATCCCAAGTCTATGGGGTCGATTGTTGCACCTGGTGCAAAAAGACGCACATGAGATGTTGTTCCCCAAACAGGTTTACCTGTATGGGGTTCTTACTCCTTAGAAAGGGTTGCTTGCCTTGGTCGTATGATTTTGACTGTGTCTCCGGGCTTGCGTCCTCAGAGTGTTGGGTCCAGTTGGTCGCATGATTTCCTACACTTGTCTTTCATTTGTCTCCCACTTGTCTCCCACTCTGGGTCTGGTTGGTGGCACGATTTCCCTTCCTTGTCTCCCGTTTGTCTTTCATTTGTCTCCCACTCTGGGTCTGGTTGGTCGCATGATTTCCCTCACTTGTCTCCCATTTGTCTTTCATTTGTCTCCCACTTGGCTCCCACTCTGGGTCGTGTTGGTCGCATGATTTCCTTCACTTGTCTTCCATTGGTCTTTCATTTGTTTCCACTTGTCTCCCACTCTGGGTCCGGTTGGTCGCATGATTTCCTTCACTTGTCTCCCATTTGTCTGTCATTTGTCTTCCACTTGTCTCCCACTCTGGGTCCGGTTGGTCGCATGATTTCCTTCACTTGTCTCCCATTTGTCTTTCATTTGTCTCCCGCTTGTTCCCCAAACAGGTTTACCTGTATGGGGTTCTTACTCCTTAGAAAGGGTTGCTTGCCTTGGTCGTATGATTTTGACTGTGTCTCCGGGCTTGCGTCCTCAGAGTGTTGGGT